GGAACATTCAACTGCAGATAAATTAAAAGAAATGAGTCTCTATAGTTATGATGATGTAAGACTTTAGATAAAACCTAACTAAGGTGGTCATTTTTCTAAGTTAGACAGAGACATAATCATAGACATATGAACACACAGCCATCTGTGTTTATGTGTGAAACATTTACAGCAGGTACATATCAAACAGGGCTTACAACCAAAAAACTGCATTCATCTCTCATCATAAAAAATAATCCTAAACTTTTGGGAGTTTTAGATGTTTTGCACATTAAATTTAAAATTATATGCGGTAGACTTACAGCTGTGTAATGTCTTCTAGTCTGAAGCATACTGTGAAATCATTTGATCTGAAGGGAACCAGCAAAATATGGCCATTGATAGAAAAGAGACTTAACGACAAAGAACCTTGATGATTATTATAGTTTATGAATTTTATATGAATATTAACAATAATTTATAGTCACAAATCTTACTCTCTATATAGAAACAACTATGTAGCTTAACTGAAAATACATACAACATCATAGATTTTCACTTTGACCAAAAATGAACTTGCTACATCATCCTGGAGCCAGTAGTGCTGTAATGGAGAACAAACATGAAATCTGAACTTGGTATGTAAGGAGGAGCAGAGTTAACCGGTGGAAGGGAGATTAGAGCTTGGGGGTGTGGGTGTGGGTTATGATGATCAGAACTCACGCTATACACGCATGAAACTGTCAAAGAGCAAATCCCCAAAAAGTCATAGAAAGTTTTAAAAGCGTGAAATCCGAGTTGGCTGTTGATAACATCAGCTTCCGAGCTTGAACTTGGATGGCATTTTGTGGATGAGCCACCTGCCATTCACTTCCCAACACACTTGTTCAAACTTGCTTGGAAGAATCCCATACATTCTAATCCTTACAACCTTGAAAACTAATGTGTGCTCCGGGCATTAAACCTGTAAACTTCATTTAACCTTTTCATTAAATGCGAGGAACCTTAGTCCGGGCCTGACAGCTGACCTAGGTGAAGGATTTTAATGCCCACTGGATGCACACACATTCTTGTGATGCACGGCTGCCACTTGCTCACTGTTGGTAAAAGCAGAACGCATCTGGCAGAAGAGTTTTGAAAACAATTCGACAGCCTGAAATGTTCCAACAATAAAACAGAACTCTTTACATGGCAAAGCCAAACAAATAACTCGGGCAAGTATAATTAAATAAATCCCGGGTTTCAGTGCAGATGGCTGTCTTTGCTGTCTGTATCTGCTGGGGTATGCTGAAGCTGCTTTAGTCTTTAGTCCGAGAGAGAGAGAGAGAGAGAGAGAGAGAGAGAGAGAGAGAGAGAGAGAGAGAGAGAGAGAGAGAGAGAGAGAGAGAGAGAGAGAGAGAGAGAGAGAGAGAGAGAGAGAGAGAGAGAGAGAGAGAGAGAGAGAGAGAGAGAGAGAGAGAGAGAAGAGAGACTGTGTGTGTGTAAGGCTTTTTTATATGAGACTTGGCATATTGCATGTGACAGGCTGTTGAAAAATGAATAAAGACAGGAGAGAGAGAGAGAGAGAGAGAGAGAGAGAGAGAGAGAGGAAAGGCAAAGCACATCCCATTGGCATGGGAGGAAAGCTAGACTTCCGACTATCCACATGCTAGATCTCCAGGTTGGCCCAGGGGCTCTCAAGATCATTTCTTTGCTCCCAGATTTTCATGTTGAATTATCACTCACAGTCTCTAAATGAACGTGCCTCTTATTTTATTTAAGACACACTGGGCACTTGCTTCTGACTTCCTGCTAGGCAATACAATATTTAGTGTTTGCTGTAACACACACAAATGGCAAGAGATGAAACATAGCCTTATAAGCATAATTTCAATTAAAAAAATATTTTTTTTGCAAAGAAACATCTTTGCCCCAAGCTTTCAAAGGCAGACATCAAGTGATACGCATTTGCTCTGTGATGCTTTTACCTAAGCAACCCTGACCACAGATGTCTACAAGGATTCGTCAGGAGCTTTGGGCTATGGCCTCTTGGCTTTGGCCTGAGGCAAAGCTGGGGGCTAAGTACTTTTCATGTGGGGGGTAAAGAATAAAGCAGAATTCATCAGGCTTCGACTGGTACTGTAGTTCCAACTGGTACCCAAAAGTCTCTCCATAGATCTGCTTTGACTGTTCTCTGGCTGCTGTTAAAGTAAACAGCATCATAACTTATTTGTGACCTACTTAGGAAAAACTCAGCTGGACTGCAGTGAGCCAAAGGGAGATGGGCTAGACAGAACAAAAAAAAGTCTTTTCTTGATATAATGATATACTTTGAGTGGAACAAAGGTTTTGTGTTTATTTGTTTTTGTTTTCATGAATGTGAGAATGTCTTAGTTGGCTCATATGATTAACTTCTTTTTCATGATCTTTACATGTCTGACTATATACGAACAGCATTTGGTTTTGATGCACAGCTTTACACAAGGTAGAAGTCACTTTTTAAAAAACAGGCTTCATATTTAAATAACAAAGTCTTGTCTGTTTTTCTTCAGTTTGAACAAGAACTGCACAAAAAGGAAACTGTTGGGTTGTTTAGTTGTTAAATGTCTTGAAATTCATCTCACCAAAAGGATGCTCTTACTCCGAGCCTACCGATAATTAACAGTGTCTTTAACTTTTGGTCTCCAGATGAAACATTTTTAACTTGACTTTTTGGGATCTGGTTACAACTCTAGGCACCTGCAACACAGAAGGAAAGGACACCTGGCGTGTTTCCAGGAAGCACTCTGACCTGCAGATGTGCTAACAGGATTCCTGGAGTGTTTTCATCCTTTTGTGTTTCTGTCCTCCTTTGACTTACATTTTCTCCAAAAGAGTTGTAGCTTTAATAAAAATGGTGTTAGTGAATGAAAGCATTTAACACAATAACCATGGAAACATGATATTTTCAATGCAATTATATGCTCCATTTCAAAGACCATTTCTTTGAAGAAAAAACAAATGCCTGCAGAGGAATTGACTAAAAGTGGATTATTGCAGTCTTGAAGGTCTACTCAGTTGAAGCTCTTGGCAACAGTAAACTAGTAAACCTGAATTCAGAGGCCCTGACACTTTAAGCATACATAGTGTAGGCAAGGTGTGGCAACACACACCTTTAATCCCAGCAGAGGCAGGTGAATTTCTATAAACCCAAGGCCAATCTGGTCTATATAGTGAGTTCCGAGCCAGACAGAACTATGGAATGAGACCCTGTCAAAGAGAAAAAAGGATCAGTGGTAGTGTCCCTTCTTTTTGAATTGGAGTTGAAAATTGTAAAGAAACACTTACGAGTTTGATATAGTTATATCAGGTGGTACTGAAGGCAAATTGTCATGTAAGCTCTAAACTCAGAAGCAACCACTTCCTATAAGCAGATCTATACAGGATCAGAAAAAGTAAATATTTATGGATCTTCAGCTATACATAGGAGTAGGTCTGTTTTAAATGATACCAACCCTTAGAAAGGAGTATGGTTAATCTTCCATTGAGCAGGTCTAAATCCTGAAGACTCACTTTCAGAGTTTGCACACATGCTATGGAGCTCAAATGTCACTCAGTCACAGTCCCAACACCAATCGCATGTGTTAGAAATAAAGGGACCATCACACCCATGTTCACAATGGTTTTGATGCAAGAAGTCAAAGTATGGAAGTCACTGCAGGTATTCATCAAATGATGAATAAGGAAAAATGGAGTATCTACATGGGGAGCTTTATTGACCCTCCAAAAAGCTATGACATTAGCTTATCCAAAAGTGAGTAAATGGAACTTACGATCATTCTCTTAAGTGAAGTAATCCAGACTCAGAAAGGCTAGTTTTATACATTTATTCTCATATAAAGAATATAGGTTCCTGTTTAAAAAATATAAGTGAATGAAAATGTCATAATGAAACCTTTATTTGTCTGCATCGTGTATCTTTTGTAAGAAATATTCTCTAATAAAAACAAAATAATTTATCAATAAGGAAAGAACTTTAAATAATAGTACACTGGGCACACTCATGGAATAGGGATGAGTTACTAATGAGTAACCTTCCAAATGATTATATTTATGCGAAATTGTCCTTTCTTCTGCTTCAAAGTTCAATATGTCACTGTGAAATGGCACAAGAGATGACATTAGAACTGAAAGGAAGGATGCCTATGGGTTTCTCTAATTATTCCCTTGATGTTTCCCATAGTTTAATTATAAAAATGCAGAAAAGCTGAAAATGTTGTATATTGTCACCCATGAGTCTTTCCCTGATACATCATGTGGCTGTTTGAATAAGATTGAAAGTGATATGCGTAAAAAGTTAAATAAAAAAATATGGAAAAAAATGACTCCCATAGACTCATATATCGGAATGCTTAGCAACTGGAATTAAGAAGCGTGGCCTTGTTGGAGTTAGGTGTAGCCTTATGTGAGGAAGTGTATCACTGAGAGTGAGTTTTGGGGGTTTCAAATGCCCAAGCCAGGCCCATTGGCTCTCTTACTCTTCCTGCTGACTGAAGATCCAGAGATAAAACTTTCCAATCTTTCTCCTGCACCATGTCTGCCTATGTACCGCCATGCTTCCTGTCATGATGATAGTGAACCAAACCCTTTGAACCTGTAAGTCAGCCCAAATAGATTTCTAGCTAAAGAGGGTTGCGTGAATACATTTTGACTAGAATGGGTAATGGAAAGGAAGCAGTAGACCTATTACACATGTCAGTTCCTTCTCATACTAGTGTTACTGTGAAGGGATTTTTGCAAATGGAACTAAAATTTTTTATTCTGTTGATTTTAAGTTAGTAAAAATGGAATATCCTATAAGCTATGTCTTAATCAGTCAGAAGACCTTTTAAAGTGGCCTGGGGTCTTCCTGGAAGGAGAGATTGCCAATAGCTATGGGTGTGCTAATGATCTGGTTTCCTTCCTTCCAGAACATTCGCTACATTACTACAGATACCAAGCTTTCCACCATGCCCAGAGTGTTTAAACTCATCCTGCACATTCCGTATTTCCTGTCTTTGTTCTAGATTTTACCTTCGCTTAACCCAACACCAACATGACTAAAAAGTTCTCTGTAGAAGCCATGGAACCCAAAACCACCGCTATACTAAGCCAGCAAAATCCCAACTACACTAAGTATTCATCCTTATACTTGCAGGTAAGTGTAGTCCTTGCCTATCCTCAACAAAACTCTTTGAAACAGATGGAGGACATTATAGAAAATCACAACCAATCAAAGTCTAGAGTTGTGGACACCTCCTTACTTACCCCCTTCTCCTTTGATTGGGCAACACTGAGCTGAACTCTAGAATCCAATTGCAGAGAGGGAGGAGTGATGAGCAAAGGGGTCAAGACCAGGCTGGAGAAACCCACAGAAACATATTTCCTGGTTTTTAAAGAAATATTCATGACAGTTTAGAATTTTGGATTATTGTAGAGATTCCAGATTCTGTTATATGCCCCCCAAAGACTGTTGAAACTATTTTATTTGTTTTATCAGGCAGTTAACTTACATGGACTCAACTTCTAATTTCTATTTCTCCCTATGGTAAGCAGCAGCTGCCAATTCTGCTTGGTTACTATAGCCTTAGTTGTACTGTTCGGAGCCCTAGGGATTACAAAAAGGGTCAAACTCAGAGAACTTAAGGCTCTGTGTCTCTGGTTCTTTCATTGCCAAGACCCTTTCCCTCCAGGTCAGCTACAATGGTAACATCAGACTCTGTTCTCTGGACCACTGAATCTGGAAGATTGGCATTTTAGCCACGTGTTCTTTTTCTCATTATAGCTATCAGCAAAAAGTGGAGGTAAAATCCCATCACTTCTTTCTTGCAGCAATCCCCTCTTCTTTATTCTTGCCTGCTCCCAATCACTCCCTGTTACTCTTGAATATTTTTTCATACCTTCCTCAGTGTTCAGTTGTCTCTGTAGGACAATGGATCTAAGAGGGAGAGCCTCTCGTTACCAGGAATAAAATCTCCACATGTAAATTCTTCAAACTTGAATAAATACCAAATTGTTTGAAGATATTTAGCAAAGTAAACTGGGCACTTTCTATTTCTATAACTACTGGTAGTGGGAATACAGAAAAACAGGGCTGTTCTGCTACTCATGAGAAGTGATAACATGAGACAATTTCAAGACTGTGTAACTCTTGTATTGATTTGCTCATCGCTGTGTCAAAATACACAGCAGAAACAGCTTAGAGGATGTGCTCACTCTGGTTAATGGTACCAGCAAGATTTCAGCCCATCCTGGTGGGAAAGGCATGGAAGTAGAAGGGCCTCAGCCCACAGCAGCTTGACATGGTACAAACCAGGAAGCAGAAGCATGACAGAGCCAGAAGTGAGCGTAGCCTTCAAGTTTCACATCGATGATCCATTTCTGCCACCAAGCCCCTCCTCCTGAAGATTCTACCACCTTTGAATAGCACCACTGGCTATGGAACTGAGAGCTTGTGTAAGGCTGAGTTTTGTAAACCACTTAACTGAGAACTTACTCCTCAGAAATTCTAACCACTTTTCTACATTAGATGATCCAGTCCTCATCATTCTGTGAAGTACATAAAGTGGACTACAGAAACAGCTCCCCCCCCCAACCTTGCCTTCTCCCAGCTCTGGGTTTGGCCAATGAGAAGCAAAATTTAGGCAGTCAGACTCTGAAAAGACAATAGTTCTTCAACTAGACTTTGCTTGCCTATACTTTCCCAGAATGCCTCTGGTGCTGACAGTCACACTTCCTTCTTGTTATGCTTCTTCCTGTAGCTCTCACTATTCACTGTGTATGTAGTCCGTCCTCAGTGTCTTTCCCTCACCACCAGAAGTGGTAACAGATAAGCGTTTCTGGTTTCTTGTCATTTCTCAGTCATTTCTCCCTGGGCCCTTGTTAGTTATTCTCTTTAAATTTTCAATACAATTCTTTTCAACCTCTATGTTTAAGTAAAACTTTGGAAATACACAAGCCAGATTTCTGCACATGCTGTCTTCTCTGCTAGTTGTAGTCTGGTAAGAACCTGTATAAATGAGACCACTTCCAGTCAGTCTTCAGGCTCCACTTAAATACTGTCTCTCTAGACATGGTCATTCCTCAAACACTTCACCACACATCATATTACTATATCTCAGACTATTATCCATCCTTCATAACTTGTCAGAGTTTATTATTTATCTGTTTACTTGTTTATCATCAGTCTAGCAGTCAAGATAATAGATCCTGTGCAGACATAGAATATGTCTATCCATCCCTCAATAATCAACAAATTTCAGGACACTCACAACACATAAGCAAATCAACTTTGTTTATTTGTTTGTTTATTGCAAGCTGCTAAAGTACCTTACAAGAGAATTTTGGAAGACTAAATGCAGACAGCTTCCAAAGTTTGGTGTAATATAATTAAATCTATAACTAGCAATAATGCAGAAGGTTAAAATTGACTATTATCTTATTTCAAAGTAAAACATAAGTATGGAAGATGAAAAAGATCATGTTATATAGGATACAGAACACTTTCAAGAATTTTCAGATCATAAAACCACTGAATCTGTGCAGGAGTGAGTTTTCAAAGAACTGGGCTACTTCACAAAGTAAATGAATAACTTTTCAAAATAAAGTTTTTTCAATTTTTTTCAGTACACTAGCATGCTATTTTTCCTACTTTGAATTTTTCTTCTGTATTTGGAAAGAGTAATTCTTTCTTAAGTGATTTGGAGTGTTTAGAAAAATGCTTTAGATTCCTTGGGGAATTTAGAAGGCGACTGGGATGCCTTTTGAAGCTGTCAGTATGCCCTCAACTAGAAATTGAGACTGTGCTTCTAATCTAAGGCCTTTGAAGACAAGCTGCCCTCCCTGAGACCTCCCCTCTGGACTTTAATCATGCCCTATGTGGTCTTTTTACCTCTACTTTTTTTCTTTCAAATTTTATTAATTATATACTTCACTGCTTAATCTTCTTAAGATATAATATTCTTATGATGTTTTCTGTGAGGGAATCCATAGCATTTACTGACTCTCAGATTAAATATGATAACCCCAAGTATTTAGCAGATATTTAAACTGTTAGCCAAGTACTAAAAATTCCTTCTTTTCCCCTTCCATCAAGTCCATGGTCAAAAGAACCGATGCACTTTGTACATTTTACTCAAACTGCCATAATCACTTTTAGCAAAAACTTTCTATCACATGCTACTTACCCACCCCTACCACAATAGCCTTTTCTTACTTTTTCCAAATAAATTATAGAATCCCTTCCCTATTGTAGCTCTTGTGATTTATGACTCCACTCTACATCAATGCTCATATTAATTTAATTTTATATAATAACTCTAGGTAAATCTGTACTGTGTCTACATATACCTGTCATTTAATATGGGCTCCACCTACACAGAGAGATTAGAGGATACAGTACCAAAACTCAGGGAGCTTTATGCTCCTCTAAGATGAATAATAATGTAGAAATTAAAACTCTAAAAGAAAAATGTAAAACTTCCTGGAAAATAGTGATACTTTTGAAATCTATTAGAAGTAGAGCTAGGCTGGAAACTAGTCCTCTAATAGCAATGGACTACTCTAGGTTCTAGCAATGACATGGTTCTTGCTATCCATACCATTCTCTGTTGTTATGCTACATCAAGTTCTCATAGGTCGTGTCTACTATATCAGCCCATTTTACTGTGCTATAAGAAAACACCCAGTTTGGAGTGGTAAGATTCCAAGATTTCATGTCCCCATTTGCTTGACCTCTGGTGAGGCCTTGAGGAAAATGACATCACAATAGTAGAGGCACAAATAAAAACACCCACATAGTCAAACAGGAACCCAGAAACTAAAGGGTTATTGTAACTCTCCTTTCAACTCATTCTCATGGGGACTAACTGGCATTCCATAAGACATACATTGTCCCTAATATCCAAGCTCTCTGCATTCGACTCCACCTTTCACAGATCACAGATACCACCATCACTCACCAGTACCATGCTAGACATAGAGTTTCTGCTACACAGACCCTCAGGAAAAGTATGCAAACCACCCTAACATATAATACCACTTTTCTAGAACCTTCACTCAAAGATGTTAAGAAATACATTCTATTGACTCTGCTAATCAATATAAGCCATTCCTGTTACTTCTTTGCAAAAGAGAAAAGAAAATGAAATTCTGCTTTTGTTTGAGATAAAACAATGCACCCAACTAAATAAACATGGGCTCTATAAAAGGAAAAGACAAAGTATGGTTACATATGTTGGTCACATAAAATGTTGTTTTCCTTCGTATATAATTAAGAGAACTAATCTAGATGACTTAGGGACTAAGCCTTTTCCTCTGCCCTTTCTACCCACCCAACATGCAAACACAGTGGGTCATTACCACATACAGCCCTGACACATCAGCCATTCTACAAATCTAAGGAGCATACCCTAAGGTGATAAGGCTAAGGCAGAGTCCCACAGTTCCTCTTTTAGGTAAAAAGACAATATTACTTCTTTTTTGTGGAACAATTGTATTCAAGTTTCTGTTTATTGCAGCTTAATGTGCTCCTTGAGTTTCTTCTTGAGTTTGACTTCATGGGAAGCTCTGTCTGTACTGTAGGGGGGCTTTGCAAAAAGACAACTAGTGACTTTTTCCCCAAGAGGTATACGACAACTAAATTGGGGATCTCACTCTACCTGGGAGTAAAACTAGAGGTGGTTTCTCACTCTACCTCAGGGATAAGACAAGTAGAAGTGGGACTCTCACTCTTCCTGGGGATAAGACAACTAGAGAGAGGCTCTCGCTCTGCCCAAGCCAGTACTTCTGAAGCTCAATAAATTTTTGCTTTGGGACAGAAAATCCCCATGATGAGTAAAGTGATTCATGTTTCCTTAGTCAATGAACAATTAACCTTCATCAGTTTGTTCAAGTCACTTTAAATGTGAGGTAAGATGCTGTTCCTGGAAAGGATAGCACAATGAATGCCATTAAAATTATTTTATGATGGGTCACTCATGGAGTAGATTTAACACCAACTCCAACACAATGAGAATCACATTCAGAAAACATGGACAAATGTGTTAAGCACCTGTCAGAATAAAAAAAAAATCAGGTCCCCAAATGACTCCACAATACCCCATTGCCTTTCAGTCAATTCTAAATTGTTTTCTGTCTTTAACTGTTGCATTTGTCTCT